TATATATATATATATATATATATATATATATATATATATATATATATATATAAGAATTGCTCGTTTAAAGATATAAGATATTAAATGATATCAGGCCATATATGAACATATTAAATTTTCTTTCGACCTTTCAGGTTAAATCAGAAAATTTTTTTACGAGGACGGATAAACTTAATTAACCATGTTGGGATTTAATCCCTAACTCCATTGAAACATTTCGATGCATCAGATCTAAATGTTCATTTTGCAAATACAGTTAGAAGGCATCCCGCTTGTGACCCTGAATTTGTTCAATCATTGGAGTCCGTATACAAAAGTCAAGTTACCTGCTCTTTTAATTGGTCTAAAATTGACATAGTAGATGTTACTAAAGCATTGCAAATAACATTAGGTAAATCCAAGGGTAAGAGTCCTAATGGACTGGATCTCCGTTGGCTAAAAAATTTCATTCCGCAAATCACTATTTTTCTCACTGCGCTCTTTAATAGGTCTCTAGATACTGGCATATTTCCACAAGCGTGGAAGTTGATATACATTATCCCATTAAACAAAGTCTCTCCACCGCGTTCGTTATCTGATACTCGTCCGATAGCAAATTACTTCGCATCTAAGCAAAGTATTTGAACGAGTAGTAGCCAATCAAGTGATGAACTATCTTGAGGACAATGAATTGCTTGATAACTACCAATCTGGCTTCAGAAAACATCATGGTACTCAGCCTGCTCTGTTAAAACTTGTAGATGACATCAGCAAAGCCATGGATAATAATAAATTGACGCTCTTAGTTTTGTTTGATCTAACCAAGGCTTTTGATTATGTTGACCATAAAGTTATTTTGAGAACCTTGGCTGAATTAGGCTTCTCAATTGATACAATCTCCTGGTTCTTTTCATATCTGACTAACAGGAATCAATCAGTGGTAGATGAACAAGGGATTCCGGTGGGTTTTGTTGAAACCACGTCTAGTGTGCCCTATTGCATTATTGTTTTAACAAATTCAACATATGAAAATGATTGTAAACTTCAACGTGCGTTAAACTCAGCTATTCGCTTTATCTTTCACTTGAAGCGTAACGAACACATCACGCCTTACAGACGTGAACTTGGTTGGCTATTTATTAAAAGTCGCCGTATTTATTATGTTGCTTGCTATTTTTATAAATTTTTAGACATAGAAAAACCTTGTTACTTGCGAGATTTATTCTGTGAAGATCTTACTGTTAGGCATTCTGAAAGATTAGCAGCAAAGAAAAACAGTAGTTTCAAAATGCCGAACTTTGCTACAACTTATTATGAATATTCTTTTGTTGTAACGGTCATACGTCTATGGGACGAACTTCCAGTTGATATTGTTAACTCGTCTAGCCTAGAAATCTTCAAGAATAAACTGTTCGATTACTTATTTAATCTGGATATTTAATCTCTATTATCTTATTCACTATATTTGGTTAAATCGTTTTATTTGTATACTATTATCAGAACTTAACTCTTATTTTTAACATTGTTACTTAATATGTAAAATCGTTAATATTTATAAATACTTATTATATTAATCTTGTTATTATTTAGGTATAGCAAATAATCATTGTATAATTAACTGTTAAACAAATTTATGAACTTAATTTTTGAATATTGCCATCTGGCCAAATTGGCTTTGGCATAATAATAAATTAATCTAATCTAATCTAATCTAACTGTTGATCATTCGAAACATATGTGTACATGGTAATAGGATATTATTTTACTATGATATGGATAACAGGTAACATTTGCACTTGTTGCATTGTAATTGCGTATTGTCTGAAAGTTTTATTTTCAAGAACAATATTTTAGATTTCATACAAATTCTTGAGATATGCTTGGTCATTATGTTAAGAATATGATTAATCAAGCGAACGGTTTGTTAAAATAAAATATATCTGATGTTTCAAACAAATTTTAACTCATGGTCAATAAAGCGGTCGATGGATACCTTGTAATTAATAAAAAACTAAAATCGACTGGTATCCCGGGTCGAAAAATTTAAACTGATTTTAAGCTAAATGATCTGCATTTGAACTTATTGATCTGTATTTGAACTTTTAAAAACATTTTCATCTGTATTTGATCTACTATTCAAATTATTTTTGATCTGTTTTAAGACTAAATAACTTTTTAGTAAAATAATTGAGCAGCTATGAATATTTTATGCTGTTTCTAATCTAATAAGACTAAAAAGTTTTAAAAGTTTGATCGGTTTTGTATTACAAATTAGTAAATCTGTGGAATTATCTTAGTTAGATCCAAAGTCACTATTCATAAATTTTAAGTTTATTATTTAATTTATGAAGTCTAATAAATAAACCAAAAACATGTTATGTATTTTATAATATATTGTATCCTACACTTATATTATGTTGAAATTAATTAAATTAGTTTTGTAAGCTGTTACTATTAAAAAGTTTGTAATTTTTTTGTCATTCGGCTAATTGCCTTGGAATATTGAATAAATACAATACAATACTAGAATGTGGAATTAACATTAATTTGTGCACTGAAAAAAAAATTGACTTGATTCGAGAGAATTAGTATATTACATACCTAGGCCAGTAAAACATGAAAAGTCTCAGATCACATGTAATTGTTGGCCGAGGCGAAGCCGAGTTGGCTTTACTTTTTACTGGCCAAGGTGTGTATACTATTTTTCTGCTCGACGTAGCCGGAATGTGGCAACTTTGTTTAGCGCAGCGGCCAGAAAGTTGCCACTTTCCGGCCGGAGGGCAGAAAAATAAATTAATTTATAATATATTCATGCGCTCTTTTGTTTTATGAACTTAACGTCGATTATAACCTTACATCTGTCATATTTATTTATCATAGCTTAATATTTCATGGATTATAAAAGTTTTGTAACTGCAAATATTACTAATAAATTTGTATTAATATACGTATATAAAATAGTTCTCATTGTTTGATTATGGATCGAAATCTAGAGTTTTCTAATTATCGATATTAAACACAATATTAAAATGCTGACAAGATGACAAGATTAATATTAAATTTTATACTTTCACGCATCATTTAATGAGCGGTATTCACTATTTGGTAGTGCAAAGAATACCGTTTGGTATACATTGCACTACTAAATAGTGAATTGTCACTATTTCAGTTTCAGAGAATGGAAAGCCGTGCCCTGTAGAGGATCTTCGAGGACATGAATAAAATAAAAATAAATAAATATATTACTATTATTTTTATTATTATTATTATTATTATTATTATTATTATTATTATTATCATTATCAAATCCGTAAAAGGTCGGTTTTTGATCTACAAGCGATGAAAAACCGACTAAAAATTATGGAACGTTTTGATCTGTTTTTGACCTTGATGCGATCAAAACCAGTTAAATTATTGTGACAAAAAAGTCTGATTTTGGTCTTGAAACAATAGAAAACAATTTTATTATAACATTAAAAGTGATCTGAAATTGGTCTGAATTGGGAATAGTACGGGCAAAAACAGATTTAATTCTTATATAAAATAGATACACATAATAAATTTAAATTGAATAAAAATTATTAAAAATTTTCATTAATCATAAAACAGATTAAATTTTTTGACCCGGGATTGTGCATATCTATCTATGTATTAATAAAACGGGAAATACCGCGAAATATTCGAAATTAAAATTACGTCACAATTGGTTTAATTACTTATAAAACGCCAATACTTAACGTACCTGCATTGAAGTGTGAGGAAATAATACTTTTTTAACGAGGCTAAGTCAAAATTTTCGATAATTACATCGAAACTCGTCAGCAAGAGACAACATAGTCGCAGCAAACTATACTGTAAAGAGTTTTCTTCCTTTTTCTTTAGAAGTAATACAACACTTTTCATTGCATAGTGAATGAGCATTGAGGCGTACACTTTTAGATATTTCAAACTATTTTTTCTTTAAATAATGCACAACACTGTTCTTATAATTTAATTGTTTTCCATTAGTTGAAAGTCTATGTTATTTCATTGTAATTCAACAAAATATGACTTGTAACAATGTGCATCAGACAATTATTCAATAGCGCTAAAACTTAGCTCCGACTACGTTAATTATCGATTACAAAGTGAATTTCTCATGGTAAAATAAGAAAATAAAAAAAAAACAAAGAAAGAAAAAAAGGAGAAGAGGCAGCCGTTATCCGACAATGTCGCCAAACCCAATTTTGTTCGCCTCGTTCCGGCCGTTAATCGTTTCTTCAGCCGTGGAAACAGCGTGATAGAACGATGAACAGAAAAATAAGACATAACGAAAGAGGAAAATACTTTTTTTCTCTTATACTTCTCATCATCTTGTCTCCTTCATGAAACTTGTTTTATTCGTCCTTTTAGATAGACTCTAGAAGATAAACTCTGGCTTCTCTCTCCGCAGATTCATATTCTTTTTCTGTTCTCATCGTATCTTCTCCTCTTCTCTCCAGGCTCTCGTGAATATATACCCCCAGAGTTATCTAGAGTCCTCCTCACTCCTTGTGACGTCCAACGCACCCACACCTTCAATCAGACTTCTCCATATTTACAGATGGATGGCGGTATATACGTTTTAAAGCACAAATTTTTTATCCGAGCCAAGTTCAAAGCACCGCAGTAAAGAGAAAGTCGGTATGTCATTATCATAATCTGCGTTGGAAAGCGAGTAAACCAGGAAACGAAGCGTATACCTACGCCGGAATGAGAGAGCTTTTGCCACACAGCTCAACTTGATTATCTTTCGCTCTTTCACCCGCGAGATGATAATCCCGTAAGACCGGAAAATTTTCGTATCCACTATGGAAATTGTTTTGCCATCGTGAATAATTTTAATGTTGTACACTTCCTTTTGTAAAAGGATTCTATTTTGTTTTTTACTTGATAAACATCACTACTTAAGCTAATGAATTGTTAGCATCCAGTTATTAATCTAGTTAGAAGGCATTTTCTGAGTCGTGAAAATTATTAATAAAATTAATTATAAAATTCTCTGATTGTATAATATTTAATTATTTTTAAATAATTTTACACTGTAAAAAATTTTCGGAGTAAATGCGGAGTAATTTTGGAGTGAATTAGTAGTGGGCAATTATTAATTGATTTACTCCCTCCGGATGTGAAATTTAATCCGAGATGGATTTAGATTATATTAATAATAGACTTTACTCCGTGAAGTAAATTTTTAATTTCTTTTATAGTCTAGTCAACAAGTGCCTTTTTGGTCAACTTTTTTCAGCAGTCTCCGAAAAATATGATTGATGTGTCATTAGATTCGGACTGGCATGTAGATGATTTTTGAAAAAAAAAAAAAAACGAAGTTCCACTTGCAATTATTCCAACAGTTATAAACAATTAACTAAAAAAAAAAGGGTTTAGTTTTTTGCAAATATCTCAAAAACTCATTAAGATTTTTCAAATTTAAAAAAAGATTCAAAAAGAAAAGAGAATTTAAAAAATAAAATTTTTACTCCCGGAACTGTAGGACTAATATTTATAATTTTCCCAGACGGATGAAAATACGACCGAAAACGGGTGCTCTGGCTTGCGTAAGCCATGCCTACTTCGCACACTATTAATAAAAATTATTTTAACATATAAAACTTCAGAAATGAAAAAATTCAGAGGCTTACAGGATAGATAAATTTCTAACATTTCTCAAATTTCTAAAGAAAATTAAAAAATTATAATCAATTATTATTTTATTATTATGTTCAGATTTCATATGATCATTTTCGTCCTAGGCGGACGTATGGGGGTTTTTACGTGCAGACGATACTCAATCTGTAAATAATACGCGTACGCGCCAGTATATACTAGGCTGTATAGAACTTTATACAGCCCAGGACAATGCCACGCATTCGTCACCAATCTCTATACAGCCGACTAGCTTACGTTTTAACTGTAATTTTAAAAAGCGCACCGGGCGCATGATATGCTGAAAAGACAATATAATCTCAATATTTGTAAATCAATTGTTTTAGTATAGCAGTTAAGTTCATTGATCTCAATTTTTTTAACTCGGGGAACTGTTACTTTAATTTTATAAAATTGCGATTTATTAAAAAATATGTTAAAATAACTGTGTTTAAACTATTAATTACAATAAAATTACATTTTAATATTTACTAGAAATTTGAATTAATTAATTTTAACCACTAATGAATCGTGGCCCGGTTTTTGCGAGTTTCTACCTATGACTAACTTCAAGACTTTCATGTATTTTTATTGAGAGGGTTATGGCGTCGTACGCTATTTATTTACAAATTGAGTTTCCCCTGCACGCAAAAACCCGCATACGTCCGCCATAGGAAGAAAAATTTTTTAAGCACCATGGGCAAGCCACGCGCAAATACGGTCTCGGCGATAATTATTTGCAGCAGGGATATAAAGCCTCGGCCCTGTCGGGCCTCGGCTTTATACTATCCCTGCTGAAAATACTTATTACCTCGACCGTATTGGCGCGTGACTCGCCCAAGGTACATAAATAACTAATATGGCCTGATATAAAAATTTGGTTATATGTGGGCTTAATTGATCCGAACAGTATAGATATAGCCAGATTAAATTTTATCATCATTAGAAAATTTTTTTACAGGTCATTACTTTTTATTCCAGGATTTTTAGAATTTTTTTTTTTTTTTTAAGTAAAGCTTAATATGGAAGAAGTTAAGAATATTTCTAATTTAATCTCTTCAAATTCACAATATATTGTGACATTGTATAAATAAATTCTTAGCTCATGAAAAGCGATAGCTTTCCCGGTAATTTATTTATCCTGACATATAGGAATGATGAGCAGTTTTTGATATTAATATAAAAAAAAAAAACTGGTCACAATAAGTAATTATTTACCAAAGTGATAATGGTCATATATTTATTAAATTTAATTATTTTTAAGACAAG